GGCACACTTTGCTTCATAAAGAAGAGGCCTATGAAAGCAGAGTATTTGCTCACCCTCCTGGAATTTAGGGTTTTGAGTCTTGCTTCAGCACCATTTATAGGGATTCACGGCCACCTCGGCCTCCTCCCACCACCCTGACTGGCTCCCACCACCCTCTGCCCCTCCCAGCTCTGCCTCCCACACAGAGGGCAGCACCAGCTCTGCAGACCGGGCGCCACTGCCAGCGCCCAAACACCTCACAGCGCCAAGGCTGCCTTCACTTTCTCTATGGTGTCCTTCACGGACAATTTTTTTTATTTTGATGATATTCAATTTATTCTTTTTCAAAATTGTTTTGGCTATTGGCACTTTAAGGGGTCTTTTGCAATTCCTTTTGAGTTTTAGAATTAGTTTTTCAATTTCTATAAAGAAGTCAGCCAATGTTTGATAGATTAGTTTGTAGATATTGCCATTTTAATGATGTTAAGTCTTCCAATCCATGAAAATGGGAAGGTTTTCCATTTATTTTAGATTTTCTATTTTTTTTGTTTTCAGCATATTAATTTTTTACTTCATTTGTTAAGTTTATTTCCAAGTATTTTATTTATTTTATTTTGTGCTTTTGTAAATCGAATTATTTTCTTATGTTCATTTTTGGTTTGTTCATTGATAGTGCATAGACACATGGCTGGTTTTTGTATACTGACCTTATGTCCTGAAACCTTGGTGAGCTCGTTAATTAATTCACATAGGGGTTTTTTTTTTTTTAGATTTTATTTATTTATCTTTAGAGGGGAAGGGAAGGAGAGAGGGAGAGAAATATCAATGTATGGTTGCCTCTTGTGTGTCCCCTGCTGGGAACTGGCCTGCAACCCAGGCATGTGCCCTGACTGGGAATTGAATCGTGATCCTTTGGTTTGCAGGCCTGAGCTCAGTCTACTCAGCTACACAAGCCAGTGCATTTCTCTTAGTTTTTAAGTAGATTTCTTAGGATGTCCTATATTCAAGCTCATGCCATCTGCAAATATAGTTTTACTTTTTCCTTTCTGCTTTCAATCTTCTTTATTTCCTTTTCTTACCTAATTGCCCTGGCTTGAACCATTGACTTTTATTTTCCTTACCAAAGTTTAATGGATTTTCCTGAATAAATGTTTATTCACTTGTTGGATGCTCATAGGACCATTTCTAGGGACTTTGGTTAGTTTTGAAATAATTTATGCCAGTTTTGCTGGGAAGTAGGTCCATGCAGCTCTTCACTCTCTCATGTTGGAAAGACAACTCTGGGATTTGCATTTTAATAGACTAGGTATAAAATGGTTAAGCTTGAGGTAAAGGCATGAATTTCTGGTGGAGATGTTTTAGGCCCGGCATTTATTGCTGAAGGCTTTTTGTAGGAGGTGGGTGACATCCCCCAAAGCATCATTTGTTAGAGACAGTTCTGTGAATCCATGAAAGAGAGCATGAGAAGGCCTGCTGTGATTCCTGTCACTTCTGGATGCTCCAGCTGCATTTATTCATCATATAATATGTTTTTCTAAGGTTTTGTGGAAAATTACAAACATGCACAATAGTTGAAAGAATGATACAGTAAACACCATGGTCTTACCACCTCACCCTATACTTAATTTTATTATATTTGCTTTAGCACATATCTATCTATCCAATCATCTTATTTTTTGGACGTATTTCTTAAGTTAAAGGCAACAATACATTTTCCTCTAGACAGGATAGCATGAATATTATTAACTAGAGCTTAACATTTGTTTGCCTTTTTAAAGATGCAATGCGTAAATCTTAAGCATACCATACAGTTTTGACTAATGTAGGTACACACAGGTATAACCCAAAACCCTCTTAAATTTTAGGACAGTATCACACCAGAAAACTCCCCTATTCTCTTTCGCAGACAAGCGTCCCTCCATTGCCCATCCACAAGGCAAAGAGTTTTCTAATTTTTTTTAAACTATAGCTAGCTTCACCTGTCTAGGTCTTTATTTAGATAGAATAGTATTTACTCTTGTGTAAGGCTTCTTTCAGTCGCCTTTGGAGATTCACCCAGGTGGTCACATTAATGAGTAATCTGTTCCTTTGGATTCTATTGTGTGACCTTTTGTTTGTTCTCCTGATGATGAATACCTGAGTTGTTTCCATTTTTAAGTTGTTATTAATAAAATTGCTCTGGTATTCAACATAATCTTTCTGTGAATATATTCTTACCTCTTGTATCCTGAAGGAATACCTGGGAGGGGAATATTTTTGGGTCATGGTTTTGATTATATTTACTTATATAAGAAATTATATAAGTATAATTTTTCCAAAATAGTTCTATTTTTACACTCTTGCCAAAAATGAAGTTTCTGGTTGCTTCACATTGTTCCCAAAATTTGGTGTTGTTCTTGTAAGAAATTTTAGTCGTTCTGGTTCATGTGCAGATGCTTTAATTTATATGCGAAGACAAGTTACTTTTTCCCATAGTCATTGGCTATTTGTGTCTCTTCCTTGGTGATGTGTCAGTTCCAGTCTTTCGCCTATTTTTAAAAAGAGATTTTTTTCTTTTTTAAATTAGCGGATTGTAGGAATTCTTTTTTATTTTTTAATAAGATTTTATTCATTTATTTTTAGAGGGAGAGGGAGGGAGAAAGAGGAAGAGAAACATCACTGTGTGGTTGCCTCTGGAGCGCCCCTACTGGGGAACTGGCTTGCAGCCCAGGCATGTACCCTGACTGGGAATCCAACCAGTGACCCTTTGGTCCTAAGGTGGGCACTCAATCCACTGAGTCACACCAGCCAGGGCAGGGAGTTCTTTAAATATCATAAATTCAGTTCTGTGTCAGATGTATATATTTTGAGTATTTTATGCCAGAGGTATGGCTTGCTTATTCATTTTTAATAGTGTCTTTGATGAGCAGAAGTTTTTAGTTTTGATGAATTCTAATTTCATTTTTTTCTCTTTTAGTTGCTGCTTTCTGTGTCCTGTGTACAGAATCTTTACCTATACTTAAATCATGTAGATACTCTTCTGTGTTTTCTTTTTGGACCTTCATAGTCTTAGCTTTCCTATTTTAAATGATTTTTCTGCATATTGTGAAGAAGTTACTGAGATTTATTTTTTCTTTCTTTATAGATATATAGTTATTTGGTCTCATATTTTTGTACTTTTTCTGAATCACCTCATTTTATAACCAGATATTATAGACATTCACTTTTTAGTCTCTTTTTACCAATCCTGACTTTTGCTTTTGCATTGTCTTCTGGTGTTTACTGAGTTTTCATTTAGAAATTTTAAGAAGAAGAAGGGAACAGCTATGACTCTACAAGTGATCGGTGCTGTCTTAGCCAGGCCCTGCTAGACTGTTCTATATGTCGTGGGGTCAAAAGTTCTAAAGAGTAGTAATAAGTATATAGTTTTCACTGAACGAGAAATTAAGTTTGCAGCCCAAGCTTCAGTTCAACCCTGAAAAACCAGCGGATAGAGATACCCACAATACTCAGATATTTCACTCTGTTAAAGCTTAAAAGTTGATTTTTTTGTCTCAAGGCAGTCTTCTTGCATTGTGCAACTGTCAGAAAACCAGAATGCAATATTATAATAACATCTTACATTTGTGTAGTACTATGTGGTTTATTAATTACTTTCACTGATAAGGCGAGTAGGGTAGTGATTATTTGTAGCGTAAAAAAGATGGATGACTGTATCAAAGCATTGACTGGCTAAGTAATTTACCCATGGTTATCAAGCTGGTATGTGGCCAACCTAGGGCTAGAATTTAGATCTTCTGATTCTGGGAGTTTAGAGGCTCCACCTCAATATGCTGCCAGATAAGTATTCTGCCTTCTTGAGATGAAAAAGAATTTCTTTGATCTCTATCCACTTATACCCTTCTTTCTCTGTTATTACTCCCCTCTTCCCTCCTATCCCAGTCTATCTATTGCCCAGTGTCCTGCATCTGACCACTGAAATGGTTACAGGATAGCAGGACGTTGAGTGACTGATACACAGAATGTGCAGTTGGCCTTCCTGCTGAGCATCCTTTCAGATTTCCTGCTGTGTAACAATTTAGCAGATAGATTCAATTAGTTTTTATTTTACTGCTGTAGGACATTTTTCCTGAATAGCATGTTTCTGTTCTTTTTAGTTCTCATGTCTTTTTTAAATTAATAGGTTTTATTTTTAGGGGAGTTTTAGGTCTACAGAAACATTGAACCGAAAGTCCAGAGAGTTACGCCGCCGCCGCCGCCCCCAGCACTTTCCCTTCTCGTTCATACCTTGTGCTGGTGCCACATGGTTGCAGTGGACGGGCCAGTACTGACACGTACCCTTCCCCAAAGTTCGCAGTTTACATTAGGGTTTACTCTTTGTGTTATACATTGTGTAGGTTTTGACAGATGATTAATGACATATATTCACAATTACACTATTATATAGAAGAGTTTTACTTCTCTAAAACTCTGCTGTGCTCTGTCTAGTCGTCTCTCCCTACCCCCAGCCCCTGGCAACTGCTGGTCTATTTACAGTTTCCATAGTTCCGCCTTTTCCAGAGTGTCATATAGTTGGAATCATACACTCAGGTGGGCTTCTTTCACTTTTCCATGTCTTCTCATGGCTTGAAACCTCATTTCTTTTTATTGCTGAATAATATTTCATCGTATGGTTGTACCACAGTTTGTTTATCCATGCTTCTACTGAAGTATGCTCACCACCAGCTCCACTTTTGTAAAACACAGACATTGATTTTCTTTTCAAGAGATGGAGAAAAAAACTTCCCTGCTTACTAAGAGGTGAATCAATCCCCTTTGCAAGGGAGAGGAATGGGGAATGAAAATTCTCTTCAGAACTGAAAAGTTTAAGCAGGACATGGAGCTACAGAAGGGCTTTGACTGAGAATCATTCTCATGTCCCTCCAGAAAGGACAGTGTGGGTGAGAGTGTCTTAGGAAGCTGCATGAACAGGTCCATGATCATTGTGAGGACCCTAAAGTGTGTTAACTTTTTATTAAAATATCCCTCTCTCTCTTTTTCAGTGTGTCAAGAAGCTGTCTGGGAAGCCTTCCGGACTTTTTGGGATCGACTTCCTGGGCGTGAGGAATATCGTCACTGGATGGATTTGTGTGAGGGTGGAATCACGATATTTGAAATGGGCACAAATTTTAGTCAGTCTGTGGAACATACAAGCTTAATTATGAAGGTAAGTGTGGTAGCAAGGGAAGGGATTGCTGGACTCTTGTCAGAGTGTGTATATATAGCTACGGCCTAAAGGAAAAAAGAACCAGCAGCAAATCCCTGTGCCACTCTTACTGATTGAATTAGGCTGTTGGAGTGAGCTGCCACAGGGCATGGTGTCATCTTTGAAGCCCAGGCTCTGGCCATTAAAATAAACATGGCGAATCCAGTAAGAACCTCAGCCTTGTTTTCTTGTCTTCAGTTTGTCTCCAGCTTTTTATTTGAAAAATTTTAAATTTAAAAATAAGAGGAGCAAAATGAAAACCTATATACTCTTTGTCAGATTCATCAATTATTAACATTTGTTACATTTGCTTTATTGTTCTTTTTGTCCAGCAATTGAACTCCAGCTGTTAAAAGGAAAAAGGCAAACTTGAACTCCAATACATTGTAAATAAGATGGAAAAATGGTATGGACACTGAGGAAACAGTTGGACAGTGTCCTACACAGTAAAAATATATGTGCCTTATGACCCAGCAATCCCAATCTTAGGTATTTACCCAAGAACAAATGTGAAAATATGCCCATACCAAGACTGATCTGGAATAGCATTTAAAAAATTTTTAACATATACTTTATTGATTATGCTATTACAGTTGTCCCATTGTTTTCTCCCCTTTTTTATTTTTAAATATATTTTATTGATTATGCCATTACAGTTGTTCTAGTCCCCCCTTTATTCCCTCCACTTTGCACACCCCCTCCCCCACTGCTTCCCCCTTTAGTTTATGTCCATGTGTCACAAGTTCTTTAGATTCTACATTTTCATCACTATTCTTGCCCTCCTCCTATTTTCTACCTACCATCTATGCTACTTATTTTCTGTACCTTCTCCCCCCCTTCTCCTTCTCCCACTCCCCTGTTGCTAACCCTCCATGTGATCTTCATTTCTATGGTTCACTCCTGATCTAGCTATCCTCTTAGTTTGCTTTTGTTGTAGGTGTGGTTGTTAATAACTGTGAGTTTGCTGTCCTTTCACTGTTCATCTTTCTTATCTTCTTTTTCTTAGGTAAGTCCCTTTAACATTTCATATAATAAGGGCTTGGTGATGATGAACTCCTTTAACTTGACCTTATTTGGGAAGCACTTTATTTGCCCTTCTGTTCTAAATGATAGCTTTCCTGGGTAGAGTCATCTTGGCATGACTTGGAATACTTCTTTCCAGCCCCTTCTTGCCCTGCAAAGTTTCTTTTGAGGAATCAGCTGATAGTCTAATGGCAACTCCTTTGTAGATAACTGTCTCCCTTTCTCTTGCTACTTTTAAGATTCTTTCCTTATCTTTAATTGTGGGCATTGTAATTATGATGTGCCTTGGTTTGTGCTTCCTTGGGTCCAAATTCTTTGGGACTCTCTGAGCTTCCTGGACTATCTGGAAGTTTATTTCCTTTGCCAGATTAGGGATATTCTCCTTTATTATGTTTTCAAATAAGTTTTCAATTTCTTGCTTTTCCTCTTCTCCTTCTGGCAACCCTATGATTTGGGTGTTGGAGCACTTAAAGTTGTCCCAGAGGTTCCTAAACCTCTCCTTATTTTTTAACTCTTGTGTCTTCATTCTGTTCTGGTTGGATCTTTATTTCTTCCTTCTGCTTCAAATTGTTGATTTGAGGGAAAAGTTTCCTTGCTTCCACTGTTAGTTCCATGTATATTTTTCTTTATTTTACTTTGTATAGACTTCATGTCTGCCTTCGTTTTGTGACCATACTTTGCCATTTCTGTGATCATCCTGATTACCAGTATTTTGAACTCTGCATCTAATAAGTTGGCTATCTCTTCATTGCTTGGTATTATTTTTGGAGCTTTGATTTGGTCTTTCATATGGGCCATAGTTTTTTGTCTCAGTGTGCCTATTATGGACGTGGTGATGGGCGGAGCCTTACGTATTTGCCAGGGCAGGGCAGATGTCTTCTCTGCATTGTGGTGCTGTATGTGGCAGTGGGGTCCGAGAGGGAACAGTGCTGCTTGCTGGGTTCTCGGCCAGCTTTCAGTCACTACCTCCACTACCCCCAAGCAAATTGGGTCCTTTTAGTGCTGATTCCAGGGTGGGTGGGTTTGTGTATATTCTAGGACCCTGTGGATTTCTCCAACAAACGCTCCTGTGAGGCTGGGAGTTTTTCCCACTGCCACAACTCCCACAGGTATTTACCACCAGAGGTTTTGAGGCTTTATTTTCCCATGCTGGAACCCTGGGTTGCATAGTCTGTGTTGCTCCCAAGTTGTTCCTCCTGGTTTATCTTTAGGCAAATGTGGGAATGTCCAATCGTCCAGCTGCCACCTTGCTATGAGTCCAAGTCCTTTCCACCACCCCAGCCATCTCTGCCCCTCCTACCAGTATGGATGAATGTTTCTTCTTTAACTTCTTGGTTGTTGGACTTTCATATAGTTCAATTTTCTGACTGTTTGTTTACATTTGTCTTTAAATTTGTTTTTGTCCCTTTGGTTGTGTGAGAAGGCAAAGTGTATCTACCTACACCTCCATCTTGGCTGGAAGTCCAGAGCCTCAGCTTTCTTTATAAATATAAATATATGGAAATAGTACTCAGTAAAGATTTAGGCTAAGAATATAAATCTCTGAGAGTTATTAAATTTTTTATCCTATATCACAAAACCAGGTAGGCTGAAGTTGAAACCCAGACCCAGTTCTCTTTTCCAAAATCCATGTTTTTTTCTTTAAATCTGTGGGCCCCCTTGTCAATCATTAGCAGTTTTGTACCTTGCCGTGGCTAAAATGGAATGGCTATTCAATGAATGAAAGAAATGTACACACATACACGCTTATATCAGCACTGTCCATTTCACTGTGTTCCTGATATAGAATCAACATATGGAGCAGCAGATATATATGATCCACAGTTACTATCCCATCAGCCTCTTGTGATGTTACATTGAGTCAACTGATGGTCTTCACTGTTGTCAGTTCAATGCAGGAATCCCCAATTTGGGGTGCAGTAAAGAAGGAAACTTTATTCAGTGTAAAACAGTTCGATTGTGATATAAAGCTGTGTAAGCAGTGTAAAAACAGCACAGCTGTATGGTGGCCTTGGAGCCAGGTGGCACTGGGGCCAGGCCCCTCTCCAACAAGACAGCTCCGTTTGGCTCCTTACTGGTCTGTTCTGTTCTACTCTAAGCCCCAGTCTGATCCATTCTGTTTGAACAAGATATCTTCAGTGTTGCAGCTCATCAGAGGATACCGTCTTCAGTGGAAAAGGAAAGTGTGTTCTCAGAGCCACTGTGGAGCTGACTTATATAAGCAGAAGTCCCTGTCCCTGGTCTATGATTGGTTTGTCCTCATGCAAATGAGGCCTCCAAATCCTTTTGCAGTTAGATTGGTCTAAAAGGCACTGCCCCAATTGGTTAGAATGGAGCTGCTCTGATTGGTTGGTGAAGCTGCTAGAGATATAGCTGTGCAGTTCTGATTGGATGGGGAAAGCTTCAGTCCTACTGGTTGAAATACCATTCCAGGAACTCCTTTATAAGGGCTGGTTCAGATGGCAGGAACATTGTGCAGGCAGACAGTTGAGGGTGAGCTACTGCCTGAAGTGCAGTTTCTTACAAGTAGAAATTTTAGTAAGTTTAGTTATAAAGGCATAGGATTTAATGATAAAGGTGTAATTACTTTCTTATTTATTTATTTAAAAGATTTGTTTTATTTATTTATCTTTAGAGGGGAAGGGAAGGAGAGAGGGAGAGAATATCAATGTATGGTTGCCTCTCATGGGTCCCCTGCTGGGTGCTGGCCTGCAACCCAGGCATGTGCTCTGACTGGGAAGCGAACCACAATCCTCTGGTTTGCAGGCTCGTGCTCAATCCACTGAGCTACACCAGCCAGAGCAGGTAATTACTTTCAATAATTATTTAGTAGAACATTCAGACAAAGGTATAGTGTGTTATCTGGATTGCATCTTAAATAATGAATACAAATTAGGTAAAGGAGAAGGAGTTTGAAGGGATGGACATTCTGAGTAGAAGGGGCAACATGAGCCAAGTGTTTGTAGAGAATGACTTGGGCCAATATATCAGAAGTGAAATAATATCAGACTAGAAAAATGGATAACTTAACAAGTTCATATTTAACACTCTGGAAATAGGAAACTGCTGAAAGATTTTAAGTAAGTGAGTTTCAGGGGCTGATAGTTTTCAATTTTAAAAAAGCTATTATGGTTTCTATACACCATAAGATGGAATAGAGGGGACAAGACAATCACAGAGACCAGGTTGGGTGCTGCTTCAGCACTCCAGGTCCGAGGTGATGTGGGTGCTAGCTAATTGGACCATGAGCTAGACAAAGAGACCATGAGAGACATCAGCGGGAAACAAGATTAGTCATGTCCAGTCTTGTTTGGGTTGAAGTCATGGGTTGGTGAAAGTGGGATAGGATGAGAGTGGCCCAAGGACGCTCCCAGTTTCTAGCTTGGGTGACTAAAATTGAGAACTCAGGGAAGCAGCTTTGTGGGTGGTGGGTGGAGGGAGAATGAGTCCACTTTTGAAAGTGTTGATTTGAGCCATCTATGAAATATGAATTCTTTGGTACTTAGGTATAAGGATACGGACAGTTGTTTATAAATATAGCGACAGGAATCACCAGCCTTGAGGTGGTAATTATAACCATAAGAGCCGCTGGGATTGTTCTAGGAGAATCTGTAGAGTAAGAAGACCAGTGAGTTATTTACAATAATAGTCTCTCCGTTTTATATCTGAGGAAGTTGAAGCCTAACACCAGAGAGATTTGGGGATTTGCCTCTGTGGGACTTGAAACTAGGTCTGTCTCCTAGTTATTAGTGTTATTTTTATCATATTGTCTCAACAGAAAACCACTAATTTAGAGGGAATTTGGGGACAATTTGCTTTGGAATGTGACAAAGGCATAATCCTATAGTTAATACAATTTGCCTTCTTTTATGAATTTTGGAGAAGCAGATTTGCCATTTTGTCTATGTGTTTATATTGTTTTAGGATGAGAGTTACTATAAATATGTTATATCACAAAGTACTTTGATTGTAAGTTCATGGAAGATTAATGTGAAACTACCAGTCTCTAATTTGTAGACTATTTTGGAATGATTAGCAGGTAACATCTATTAATCTTGGCACATTAAAAGAGAGCATGGGAACTTTTGGGCACATGAACAGAGATTACATGTAGGGACATTCTCACAGTCACAGAACAAACTTGGCATCATTAGTACTTTGCTTTACCTGTTTGTCTAGCTATAGAGAATAATAACATAGATTCTATAACATTAGGGCATTAGTGTTCTCTATGAAACAAGTTTTATAATATTTATAGCTAATTAACTGTCATTAACTTATAGTCTTTTTTTTTTTTAAATTATCTTTGTTTTCCTTAGAAACTGGCATACACAAAGGAATCTGTAAGCGGGTAAGTGTTTTTTTCCCGTAAGTTCACATTTGGCAATAGAGATGTATCATACCTTGCCCAAGACTCACCACCAATGTAATGACCCCTTTCTATTTTCTTGCCAGTCCCTGCAGTGACCAGGCCTGTGGGTAAGTCCAAATGCTTTTCCTCATTGGAGGCCACTCCCTTCCCAGACCATCACACAGCCACTGTGCTTGTTTACTGTCTCACCTCACCAGGAGGCAGACTTGTTCCTGTCTCTTGGGTGAAGAATTAGGTGTCAGGAAATGGAATATGGTATGATCTACTGTTGCGGAGGCCTACAGGCTCATGATAAATTGTCTCTGAGATGGTACTACTTAGTGGAGGATAGTTCATTAAATTATGGGTGGTGGTGTGGATCACTTTATTGCAGAATGATAGTTATGATTTTCTGATCTGTAGTCAGACGCATTATCCATTGTGCCACTGGCCCACACAGATAGTTATGATTTTGAAGTCTAGGAATAGCACAGCCTTGATGAATCAGTCCTTTAGTGTTAGGAGTCTTGGCCTCATTGACTTTTAGGTTTAGAGTTAGGGTCATTTCTGGCTCCTGAGTAGTATCAGGACAAATAGGTCATGGAAGGTAAGAGATTCTGAGCCTACAAGGGCTAAAGATTTCCAGTTCTATCCATAGTCAGAGTATGTAGATTATGCCAGCATATGAGGGATTATTTAGAAAAGCACAGGTAGGGCATGAAATCCAGGTAGAGGTCCAGGAGTTTGCCTCAAGTTACAGGGAAGAACATTGAAAAACCAAGCAGGTGAGTCAGTGTCCAGAGATGCAGCCTGGGCAGCAGAGTCCAGGCCAAGGCATAGTTGGGGTGTATGTGTGGGTGGTAGCGTGGTGTTTGCATGTCTCAAATGGAACAGGAAGAAGTAGGAGGGTAATAGGCCTCTTGGTGGTCTCATTTATTCATATGGCTAGTACTGTCACAGAGTCTAGGCTGGGGCCTGAGACTGAGCACCTGCTTAGGTGTGGTTTCTCGAGTGTAGAGTCGTCACCACTGCAAGGCAGAGCTCAGCACTCCCTGTGGTCGCCATTGCAACACGCAGGTGGCGGACCGAATAATCCTGTGAGTCCTGCTAGGGCCAGTGATCTTCGTGGTTGCACCTGATAAAAATGATCCCCATTTTACAGATCTCAGGTGGGTAAGAAGTTCATACATACCAAATAAATATGTGTCTTAACCTGGAAGAAGCCCTGGAGTTTGCTTTGGGAAGTGGACATTGGAAAGATTGTAGCTTGTGGGCAATGGCAGAGCAGTGGAGGGAGGGTTATCTGAGGTGGGATGGAAAGTTGTGACAGCGTCGGAGGGTGGGTGTGGCCCCCGACGTGTGGAGTGCGCTGAGGTAGCCGGGAGGCATTTGAGGTGTGGTGTGCATGGGCGTTGTGTGTGTGTCGCTCACTTTAACTGGGTGCCGTTTTCTGCATTCACCAGTGTTTCTTGCAATGAAATTGTGTATACACAAAGGAGAAATTTGCATATGCTCAATTATTTCCTAGTGTATTAATCACATTGGAATGCATTCACAAATAAGCATCATTGCAGAATGGATGGTATATTTTAATTGATAAAGTACTGTCTGTATGAGGTATAAGGGGACTCAAAGTATTGTTCACTATCCTTAGAAAATAAGACATATATGAAATTAATAGTACATCTGAATTAAAATGTAACTGAATTTTTTCATACAAAAGAATACTCTTCAACAATAAAAAAGGAGTGAATGAAGGATACATGCACTTTATGTGACTGCTAACAACACAGTGAACCTCAAAAGCATTATGCTGAGTAAAAGGCGTCAGACGCCAGATACAAGACTGTATGTCATGATTTTAAAAATATGTGTGTGTGTATGTGTGTGTGTATATGTACATACATGCATGCATGCATGTTTTAATTATGTGTGTACATATATATGTGTATATATATAATTAAAATCTGAGAATTTAAAAGTCTGTGTCCTTCCCATGAAACTAGAGCAGACCAGGTTGGGTCAGGGTGGAAGTTGCTGATCCGGGGTGACCCTGAAGTTGGGCTACATGGGGAGTAAAGCCATGGGAGAGGTCTAAGAATTCACCAAGCCCACCTCTCTTTGACTTGAGTACTATAGTGATCCCTTAAAAACCCTTAATTTGCTTATCATTTTAAAATATATTTTATTCACTATGCCATTACAGTTGTCCCCTTCCCCCCTTCTTTCCCACTCCCCCCATTCCCCCTTTAGTTCATGTTCATGTGTCACAAGTTCTTTAGCTTCTACATTTCCACACTACTCTTGACCTCCTCCTGTCTATTTTCTCCCCACCATCTATGCTACTTATTCTCTTTACCTTCTCCCCCCTTCTCCTCCTCCCACTCCCCTGTTGCTAACCCTCCATGTGATCTCCATTTCTATGGTTCCACTCCTGATCTAGCTGTTTGCTTATTTTGCTTTTGTTTTAGGTATGGTTGTTAATAACTGTGAGTTTGCTGTCCTTTCCCTGTTCATCTTTTTTATCTTCTTTTTCTTAGATAAGCACCTTTAACATTTCATATAATAAGGGCTTAGTGATGATGAACTCCTTCAACTTGACCTTATCTGAGAAGCACTTTATCTGTCCTTCCATTCTAAATGAAAGCTTTGCTGGATAGAGCAATCTTGGATGTAGGTCCTTGCCTTTCGTGACTTGGAATACTTCTTTCCAGCCCCTTCTTGCCTGTAAGGTCTCTTTTGAGAAATCAGCTGACAGTCCGATGGGAACTCCTTTGTAGGTGACTGTCCCCTTATCTCTTGCTGCTTCTAGAATTCTCTCCTTCATTTTAATCTTGGATAATGCAGTTATGATGTGCCTTGGTGTGTTCCTCCTTGGGGTCAACTTTTTTGGGACTCTCTGAGCTTCCTGGACTTCCTGGAAGTCTATTTCCTTTTCCAGATTGGGGAAGTTCTCCTTTATTATTTATTCAAATAAGTTTTCCACTTGTCGCTCTTCCTCTTCCCCCTCTGGTACCACTATAATTCAGATATTGGAATGTTTAAAGATGTCCTGGAGGTTCCTAAGCCTCTCCTCATTTTTTTGAATTCTTGTTTCTTTATTCTTTTCTGTTTGGTTGTTTCTTTCTTCCTTCTGGTCCACTCCATTGATTTGAGTCTTAGTTTTCTTTCCATAGCTATTGGTTCCCTGTGCATTTTCCTTCATTTCCACTCAGTGTAGCCTTCATTTTTTCATCTAATTTATAACTAAAATCAACCAGTTCTGTGAGCATCCTGGTCACCAGTGTTTTGGACTGTTCATCTAATAGGTTAGCTATGTCTTGGTTGCTTAAAAGTATTGGCTCTGGGGCTTTGAGTTGTTCTTCTGCTTGAGTTACAATGTTTTGGTCTGTTCGTGCCTGTTACATATGAGGGGTGGAGCCTTAAGTGTTCACCAGGGAGGGGCAACCCAGTGGCTGGGCTGTGACGCTGTATGTGGGGGTGGGGTCAGAGAGGGAGCAATGGCGTTTTTCCCACGCTCTGTTGGGTTTTGGTCCTCTCTGCCACTTCCCACAAGCAAATTGGGCCCTTCTGGTCCTGGTTTCCAGGTGGGTGGGCTTGTGAACATTCTAGGGCCACATGGGTCTTTCCAACAAACTCTCCTGTGAGCCTGGAATCCTTTCCCGACACCTCAACCCCTGAAAGTTTTTCCAGTTGGTTCTTTTAGGCTTTAATTCTCGTTGCTGGGGCCCTGCATTGCATGGTCTGTCTCACTGTGCTTTTTTTCACCTGGTTTGCACGTGAATGTGTGACCGTGGTCAGCCAGCCGCCCTGCACCCTCACTGGGTCTGCCCATTGTCACCTGGCATCTGGGATCTGCCAGCTGCCACCTGTGCACCTGGGTCAGTCCGGCAGCCACCACTTTTTCCTGCCATGACCCCTCTCCACTGGCCACTGACTCCGCCCCTCTTACCTGTCTGGATGAATGGTTCATTGTTGTCGGACTTCCGTACAGTTCAATTTTCTGTCTGTTTTGGTTGTGTTTTTGTTCCTAAATCTTTGTTGTCCTTAAATTTGGTTGTGGAAGGAGGCACAGTGTTTCCACGCACACTTCCATCTTGGCCAGAAGTTCTGCTTATTATTTTTTAATATTCAGATTTATTTTTATAATTTTTTTAGACCATTTTCATATTCTCTTTGTTAAGAGACTCTTGTATTAGTTTTCTGTTGCTGCTGTAAAACTTTACCACAAACTTTGGTAGTTTCAAAGAACAACTCATCTTACAGCTCTAGTTTAAAAGTGATGCAGATCTTAAGGTATTAGCACGCTCGTGTTCCTTTCTGGAGGCTCTTAGGGAAGAATCTGTTTCCTTACCTTTTCCAGCTTCCAGAGGCCGACCATATTGATTGGCTTTAGACCCCCTTCCATCTTCAAAGCCAGCAATGGCTGGTTGTGTCTTTTTCACAGTCCATCACTCTGACACTCTCTTGCCTCCCTTCTCTGCATTTAGGGCTTCTTATGGTTACATTGGGCCTACTTGATGTGGACACCAGCCCACAGTGTCTGCAGCCATATAGATGAGATGAGATACATTCACACGGACTACCCAGTCCTGTGGAGGAAAAGGGACAGCACGGCCACTCTAGGGGAGAACACCCCAACCCTTGCCTTGATAAGCTTTTATTGGCTTCAATTTGCACAGGAATAAAGCTCATTGATAATTGTCAGGCAGAAATGATTAAACAATAGATAATATTCAAAGAAATTTGAGGGCTTATTCTGAGTCAGGGTTAGATCATTGAAGGACCATAAAATTTTGGGGAAACAAACTCACTTCCTGCTCGGTCCCTTGTTATTTAAATTGAGGGTATTAGCAAAGCAGGTTTCACAGGATTTTACATATTTTTTCTTAGGCCCGATCGCCCTAGGGAACCTGCCCTTTCCAGCACTGGGCCGCACCCACCTCCAGCATTGTTTCAGGCTTAAGTTAGGAAGGGGAAGTAAGGCAGCTAAGAGATTATGAGACTTCTTGCAGACAGAATGAGGACTCAGGTTATGTCAAAGCCAGGGGGTTAGGGTCCATCACCCCATTTTTCTATAGCCCCCCCCAAGTCTTTCCCTGAGGGCCCCTGTGATCATGCCTGTCTT